GGCCTTGTTGCGTTCACGAGCGGGCATTGATGGTTGCAGAGCTGATGAGATGCGCCAAGCACGGTGCTCTCATCATTTGGGGTGTAAAGCAATCCGCCTAGGATACAGTAGGATGAGGTCTGAAGTTGAGGAAGAAAGTCACACAACAGACGACTTGAACTCTAGTCGCTTAATCAGCAGTACGCACGGACTTCATCTCGTCTTTTGAATGGCCCAAGCCGTGAGATCTAGCCATACCGTGTTCAGGGGACTTTCGGACGCCGTAGGGTTCGGATGATTCGTCACTTTCACATGCTTACAGCGAGCGACGATGTACTGTAGATACATAAGGTACATTCTCACCAATGTCTGCGGAACTGGGCCGCGGATCCGGACTTAAATCGCAATGCCAAGACCCGCGACTTCACCTCTTCTCTGCGGCTGAGTCTTGAGTGTTCGAGATGCACAACACACTCCTCCGTATCAGCCACGACACCGTAGACGCAGGACATCAGGAGTACCCGATATGTCCGTGCTTAGCTCGATCTCTCTCGTACTGGACCAGCACAGTATGTTCTGCTGCGTCGTTGCATCGTCATGGGTTTCAATACTGGACCTTACATGGACCCTATACCGTGCGGACGGTTCGGGCAGGCAGATGTGCTGATACACAGCGATGCATCTACAACGCGGACATGTCGAAGGGCCCTGAGAATCGGTGTATCCATCCGGCCAAAGCCTTGATGTACGCCAGGCGGCATGGACGAGCAGGCTAGTAAAGTGATATATAAGCGAAGTAGACACTCACATAGGTTCGTTGCACTCGTGGCTTTTGCAGACAACTCGCTTTTCTGGTTCGCCCGATAGGATACCTACGACATCATGTTCATGTACTGGGAAACCCCTACGCCAGCCAGCTCGTGGAATACAGGAGGATCCAGTGACCCTTCAACGCACACTGAAGGATATATCGCATCAAACTCGACCTCGCCTGGTCCGGAGCTGGAGAGGCTGTCCGTTGCCATCCTCGAAGTGTTGTACCTTCGAGACTACTCCAATCCAGTTCTTCGCTATTTTTCATCTACATACAGGACCTGCGTTGGAACCGAGACATCTTCGTCAGATAAACCTCGGTCAGCCCGGGTTATGCGCAGCGACTCAATATCGGAACAGGACTTCAACCACTTTGTGGTGAACACGACATCGGAGGTGGATGACGAAAAGGGCAGGGCGAATGTGTGGGTGACACATCGAGGCACTGGCTTCCCACCTGATGATCTGGCGAGAGAGTATGTGACGTGGTTGAAGTGGGAGAGAGGTACGGCAGGTTGGGTTTGCTTGGGTGATTTTGGTCTGCCAGGGGGTGGCATGCCATGGTGAGGTTCGATTCAAAAGCAACCCTAGGGATTCCCGACTGAGTGTGGGATGAAGTAGTACCCATTGCAGATTTGCTGTCTCCAATGCTAGTGGCTGACCATATCTACAGAGACAAGATTACTGCGCTGCACTCGATTGCAAAGAACCTTCGAGCCCTGTGGCAAGCAATACTGTGCTAATCGCCGGCGTCTCTACCCTTGAAAGGGCCGACGATTTTTCGATCGAATCTACTCACAGAGGTTTCGCAGCGCTTCGAAGTGTGGAAAAAAAGTGGATTTAGTCATTGTAGTAAGACATGCATGATGGTGGTGGTCAAAGCGCAAAGAACGCAACGTCGCCTTGTCCTGTATGGTTCATGGATGCTCGGCGTTTGCTCACTCCAGTTTTTGTTCTCTTCTGTTCCTTATGTACCGATGAATACGTTGCATTGCTGACTATTTCTTGTACTTCTCATGGACGCCTTGGTATACAGTCAATATATACGGACTGTGCAAGCTTGGGGCAGATTCATATATACACAATGCGGATCATGAAATCAACAATGTAGCAGGCCGGTGGGATGCTCAGGCTAGTCCACTGTGCCTTACATGGCCCTCTCCTCTGGATGTTTGGCATACGACTCGGTTGGCGCCCATAGACAGCGCTGGAGCACTCTCCTGCGCATGCTATGCACCTTATTCTTCACGATGCTCATAGTATACCCCTATCGCGCTGGACTGCGAGTTCCAGCAGGTACGCATCGCATCCCTCCCGGAGTGCAAGCATCGCGTTGGCCGAGCAAGCATCGTGAGTTACGACGGCGAGATTATCTACGATGTGTTTGCCTATTACCCGCAGGAAGAGGGCAAGACGGTGAAGTTGACGCCAAAGGATTACGGGATGGGTGTTTACTGGCCGGACATCAGCACGCTGAACGGTGCACTACCCAAGTAGCCATTAAGGAGGTTGAATTCCAAGTCCGTTGCATCATGCTCCGTGCGAAGATCATGGTTGGCCTTGCGATCAAGAACGACATCAAGCTCGATGGACTGGACTCACATCCGCTCAAGGGCATTGGCACTTTCACACGACGCTCTGTATAGAGAAAGCCGTGTTCGAGGCTCGATCACATGCCCGAAGTCAATATCCGATGGCTCGACCACCACATTGACACGAAGCAGCAGGCACATCCCGTCAAGCGGCTGGTACGCGTAGTAACACGCGACCAGAGTACGGAGAAGGTTTTCGGTCCGACAACATATACGCAGCCCGTCCTAGACACGACTATTGCGAAGCTGAATGCCGTTCAAATGGCTGCATCTCAGCTCAATCACGCCAAAGTGAAGCTATTTACGACACTGATCCTCTATCCATCGCCTTCAGGAGCTACCATAGGCATTCGGCCTGAGCATGTACCAGATCGCAGCCTACAACCCAAGCCAGCATTCACCTCGAGGGATGCATTCACTGGTAAGATGTGAAAGTTATGAGACACGTCCTGTTGACGCGCTAGCATTAACAACACTTTCTCGACTTAGATAGATCGCCCTCGACACAACCTTCTTCATCCACATCACTACCTCTTCCGGAACACTTGACTACTTGCTCCATCCACAAAGCAACCTGACAATACACACATCAGGAAGTCACAACATCTCATCTCACAACCTCGAGGTACGCGAAACAAAGCCTTCTTTGTGATCTGGCTGGCTGACATCCACGACAGAACACCTCAAGATGGACAACAAGCTCCCGACCTTCCGCTCCGTTCGTATTGCGCCCAACGAGTTCGGATACACAGACGAGCAAGGCAAGCTGCGTGTCAACTTCGACGCTTTCGATGTAAGCGGTAGTACGAGAGCACATAAGATCGTTCCTCGCTGGGATCTGATCACCCCGGTCATCGCGTTCGACATCGAGTTCCAGCTCGTGTTCATCGAGGCAACGGGCAAGCATCGCTCGCGCATTGGCCGAATCAGCATTGTCAACTACTGGGGTCAAGTCATCTACGATGTCTTCGCGTACTTCGACGAGGAGCCGGGTATGCAGAAGAGGCTTCCGCCGAAGAGGCTGAGGCTGGGTGTCTACAAGGCGGACGTTCAGCTCAAGAACGGGGCAAGGCACATTGATGAAGTGGAGGCGAATGTGAAGGAGATCGTCCAGGGTGCTGAGATTCTCGTCGGACATGCCATCGCCAACGACATCCGCGCCTGCAGCCCGGGACTAGTCGACGGCATCCAGATCCGTGATACGCAGTTCCACGAGCCGTATCGCGTGTATGGGAAGTTGCCGAAGAGGGAGCCGAAGCTCTCGGTGCTCTCGGTCGAGGTTTCGGGGATTCCTATTCAGATGAGCGAGCACGCCAGCGATGAGGACGGAGCGACAACGGTTGCTCTGTATCGCCACGACGAGGCGGCCATCGAGGCCGCTCAGGGCGGTTCCGGCAAGTACTACAGCGGCAAGGAGATTCAGGGCGGCGATGAAGAATTATTCGAGTTCGATGAGTCCGAGCTCGAGGATGCATCCGAAGAGGTATTTCATGATCTGGTGAAGGCTGTGGAGGAAGCCCAGAAGATGCCGCTGTCTGCGTCTGGCTCTTTCTGGCAGCAAGGATCCCAGTCTCTCAAGGCTGTCGTGACGAGCAACGCGACTCAACCCAAGCAAGGCCCGAGGACCGACTCGATGAGCTCTGGCTCCTCTGGACTCAGCAACAAAAGCAACTGCTCAAGTGCGACGGTGTCGAGCACGGCTGCGAGCACTGAGCCAGAGATCTCTTCGCCAGAGGTTGCGGCCGGGTCATCTGCTTCCAACAAGGAAGTCAAGACAACTCAACAGAACCTCATTCTCCTCACCAAGTATCCTGCAAATGACCAACAGAACTCTAACAATACCGATGCGGAGACCAACGTCGTCGCGAAGACCGAACCGAGCAACACCATCATTCCAGGCAAGGTACAGTCGACCTCCGTGCCCGCGCTCGACGTCCCCACGCACCAGAAGCAAGCTTCGACATTTTGGTCTAAGCTGAACGAGCGCTCCACTGGCGGGCAGACGGCAGCACCTGCTACGGTTCACGACGAGGCAAAGAAGATGACCACGAAGAGGAAGCTCGTCCCTCTTCGCCGCTGATGCCTCGAAGGCGGTAGAGATCATAGTTTCGAGAATTAAGGAAAGATACACATGGCGGTTGGTAGGCTTGGGAAAGTAGGCATGGTTCTATGGTCGTGCGGAAGCTTTCTCGAGATTGTTTCGTGACCGTTTCCTCAAAGGGCAGTCAACACAGCGGGCGGCTTGGACAAACGAGAGATTAGCTTGCAATGGGTGCCGCTTACAGCAAATGGGAAGACGATGATTCAATAGGTGCCACGACGAGTAACTCGGAAGCGGTCATTAGTATGTTGCCCGAGAAGCAAAATGGATAGATTGAACACACGTGCTTTAACATTCTATCAGTGCACAAGTATCTCGACCGTTTGTTGATAACATGGTGGAGCACTGGCCCTTGAGGGGTGTGCACACATCGCTGGAGCACACATGCTCTCTCGATACACCTTTAGTCTCTTCTCACCTCGCCCTGTTCTAATCCCTCCGGCTCATCCACGGCCGCTCCCACCCTTTGTACAAAACCGCAAACACCCAGATCAACTCTCACAAGCACATTAACTGGGTGAGTGGTCTCAACGGTAAGATACCTCGTCAGGGTAACCTGTCTCCCAACCTGCGAAGCAAAAGCCGAGCGATAAATGGCAGCGGGGCGAGGTGATATTGGTTCGATTCCGATCTCGTCCAAATATACACATATCCTTTTGGTTCGAGCGGAAGCCTATTTGTGGTGTGGTGGTGAGCTTTGACTCTGTACAGATCCTTTCACGGATGACTTGAACGGTGAGGTTCCTGAGCCAGCCAACAATGGAACGGAGGAGGCTGTCGAACCGCATGGAGACTGCGGGTAAGTGTTAGAGAGGTTCGTAGTTTGAGTCACCAGTCCAGTGGCACTGCAACAGATTTCGAGAAACGACTCAATTTGAACATCCTCGAGAGTTGTCCCCTACCTGCCTGCCTGGTATCACATCAAAACAAGCAACCTCATAGCACATAAAACACATGATCAAAATCCTCATAACCACCCCCGATCCATCCATCCTTCCACCCATCCGCCGTCCTGCCCATGCACATTCCTCCCCATTCCATAGCCCTCCCCACCCATTTCCGTTCCAGTCCTCCCCCTCCTCCCCGATCCTATCTTATGCACTCCCCATCCCCCATGCCCCCAGAACCCCACCCCAAATCCTTCCCCCTCACCGCCATAAATCATGTCTACTTCCCCTCCTCCCCCCTGGACCCTCCGCACTCCCCGTCAAACTACTCAAACTCGGCGGCGGTTTCAAACTCCCCTGCCCAGCACTATCCCCAGTCGCCTGACTCCCCACACTCCCCCACCTCGTCCCCCCCACCCCATCAACCTTCACACCCCCCGTCCCTCCCCCATTAGCTCCAATAGGCCCCCCATAACTCAAACTACCCCTTCCACCGTCCGAAGTCATAGGCCTAGGCACCTCCTCAGAAGGAACGGCTAAGAAGCCGCCGAACCCGTTCCCGACTATAACGCTCTGTCGAGCTGCGCCGCCGAAACCGCCTTGTGCCCACTGAGGCCCTAGACCGCGGCCAGCAGAGTAAGCGGACAGTGGTCGGCCACCTGAGGACCATGTGGAGTTCTGGTGATCGTGGTGGGGTGATTCGGGAGCAAAGGGCGTAAAGACCCATTCCAACTCGTCAATGCCTTTGGAGAAGATGGAGAGGGTTTGGGTGAAACCTCCTCCTATATTACCTCCGAGAAAGCTTGAGCCGGTGTTCATGGGTTTGTTGTTGGCGTTGCCGTTGGCGTTCATGCCGGATTTATTTGTTGGGGGAGGAGCGAGGCTGTTAGGCGCGACTTTTAGACTCGAATTATTCGTGTACGAAGATAAGTTGGAAGGCTTGCTGCGAAGACTGCCGTTCCCGCCCTGCTCCGGCCCCTGCTGCGCAAACGGCTGAGGAACGGGAGGAAGGAGGAGGAGTTCGGGGAAATTCGGATCTCTCACGTAGAGCGTAGTAAGCCCAGGGAGAGCGTTCTGGTGTAGAGAGGAAGCCAGGTACGCGTAGTAGGATTCTGCGGGTTTCTGGAGACCGTGCACGTCTTCTGAAGAAGTGATTTCGTAGTGTAGAGTCCGAAGGGAGATTGACGTGAGTGGCGGTAAGCTCGTTGAGGTGAGGGATAGGGACTTCGCGACCGTCTCCGAAATGCTGAGGTGGACGAGTTGGGAGGCTTTCCAGAGGACGTGGTGGAGGTCTTGGACCGAGATCCCTGTATTGGTTAGGGAGAGTGAAGTCAAAGCTTCTCGATTCGGGGGAGCAGAAAGCCATTGGCAGATCCCTTGAGCCGTTACTCCAGCCGTATTCTCCAGTCTCAGGGACTGCAAAGGAGGGAAGTCCGGGACTTGGCCAGGGGAGAGTTGGAAGATCGAATCATCCACCCAACTCATATCGCTCAACGTCACTTCCCGCAGTGCAGGTAAACTCGCAAGCACAATCCTCAACGTAGCAGGCTCAACAGCCAAACCCCCTAACTCCAGTATCTCTATCCCCTGCCAATGCCTATGCGCCAGCAATTCCAACGCCTCCTCGCTGCCGGCCCGATAACTCATCTTCCTAATCTCCGGACAGCGGGCCTGTAACTCCTGCCTCAAAGCCAAACACGAAGGGTCGCCCGTGAAGAACCCATCCGGCAAATCGACATAGCGTAGATTCGGCAACGCACTAACGCATCTCGCCAACTCCCCCTTAGCCGTCTCGCGCGTCATGTACGGGAGTTTAAGAACCAGAACTCTATCAGCCAAAAACTCGCTTTCCCTCACCGTCCGCGTCAATAACCCGAGTCTCACGGCCGGAACCTCCCCAGCTTCCACAGGCGCAACACTAGATTTTGACCTGAAATGCCCTCCCACACCTTTCCCCTTTCGCCTCCTCTCACTTAGTTCCTCTTCAAGAGAGCAGTAGTGCACAGCATCCACCCTCACGCTCCCGTACAAGACCCCCTGGCTGATGGTATACCACCGCCTACACACACTCGCGCAATGCGCCAAGTCCCGGAGATCGCAGAGCGGACAGCCATCGGAGTTCAGTTGGGATTGCTCCGAGGGGACGTAGGTGTAGTCGAGGGTGTGCGGGCAGAGGTGCTGGAAGAGTCGCTCGAGGACTGGGTCTGGGAGACGGGCGATTTGGTTGGGGCCGCGGTAGGGTTGGTTTGGGAGGGGCAAGGTGGATGTTGTTGGTGTTGGGCCGGATGTGAGGCGCGATTTCGAGCGGAGGTGCTTTAGGAGACCCATTGTCGATATGCTGGTGAGTGAGTGGGTGGTGCTGAGGTTTGGCGGAAATGAGGACGTGGTTGTTTGCTGGTGTAAGCACAGTCACTGACACTCAGGGACCAGCCCTGTGAGATTGGCTTCACTGTTCTTGTCTTGGTGAGACAAGCAGCAGCTGAAGCATTCCACGTTTCACCGGCAACCCTGACCCCCACCTTTCGCTCCTTCCCCACTCGGCTCGGCAATTGTTGGACCCCTGATTACATAACTGGGTTTGTGGTATCCTTGGCATTCCGACATCACCTCACCAACATCAAATCCAAACCAGTGAATATCAACCATGGCGAAAGAAAGCCTAGAAGAGCTCGCCCACCCCGAATACTGGGATAAACGCTACGCCGCCAACGACGACGATGCTAAGCGATATGACTGGTTGCGGAATTTCGAGACACTGAAACCTTTCCTCCTTGCACACTTACCTGGCCCAGAAACCGACCCAAAAATCCTTCATCTAGGGAGCGGGAATAGTACTCTCCCCGTCGATCTCGTAAACCTGGGGTATAAAGATCAAACGGCTGTCGATTTTTCTGCGACAGTGATAGCGAACATGAAAGCCACCAATCCGGAGATTGAGTGGATGGAGATGGATATCCGGCACCTAACTTTCGAGGCTGAGTCCTTCGATGTTTGTATCGATAAGGCTACACTAGACGCTATGCTTTATGGTAGTTTATGGGACCCAGAAGACGAGGTGAGAGCTAATGTTAAGGCTTATGTGGATGAGGTGGCGAGGGTGCTGAGGCCGGGAGGGGTGTGGGTGTATGTTACGTGGAGGCAGCCGCATTTTATCAAGCCTTTGGTCAGTAGAGAGCGAGTGTGGAGCTTAGACGTCGAGGTATTAGGAGGCGGGGAAGGGGGGTTCGAGTACTTTGGTTTTGTTATGCGGAGGATGAAGATTGAGGGACAGGCAACCGAATGAAGACCACCAGAGGGCTAGAAGGATAGGGTAATGCCATTGATCTCATCGCTGGCGGCGGCGGCAATGAACTTGAGGCCAAAGCATTAGGCAAACGAGACGTCTTCCGGACGACTTCGAAGATGGAGTTTAGCGAAGAAGGATCGCTCCATGCATCGTTCGAAAGGACCTAGCGCTACGCTAGCATATTTACCACTGCTTCGCCCTTTGGATAACAGCCAGGAGTCGATCTAGACAAGGAGGAAGGTCACAAGTTTGTGCATACGTCCTAGATTTCACGACACTACATCAGCCGAAGACTTATGGATGGCGTAGCGGATTGTTTGGACACCGAGTCAGATCATGTTTTGGAGTCGATTGTCCGTGCTGGTCAAGCCTCGCGATTCCTCCCTCGCTAGATCCATCTCGACCCAGACGACCATCGCACTCAAGCAGCGATGGCCCCAACGAAAGAATCCCAAATAGGATAGCGAGGGAGATGCATCCTCCCGTGCGATCGCGGAGCTCACGAGAGTTTCGACGACACTGTCGCATTCCTGCTTCCTGTAATTGTTCCCGAGGAGCCTCGGTGGCCCTAGTCAACGACGTTACACCCTTCGCTCAAAGCGCTCCCTACTCGAAGCTTCCGTTTGCGATCTAAAAACTGACCAAGTTTCAAGACGCCTCCGGCAACACTGTACACACTTCGATCGACGCTCTCTTCGGCATTGTACTTACTACCAACCTTTATAAGGCAGCGTATACTATCCGCCTACTGCACTACAATGGTCACGACGAGGAGGTACAGACACTACTGTGGCAGAGAAACGCGGTCTATAGGTGGGTGCAAGATCTCGCAATTTCGGGCTTCCTTCACATCACCAATATACGTACCAGTAGTATCCGCAGACGGCACAAATCATCGGCGAAACATTACACAATGTCGTCCGCATCATGGCACGACATGTATGATACCGCACACAATCTTGTCTACGGCTTCCGGGGCTCCTACATCTGCAGCATGGCCACATATCTTATCCAGACGTGGCTGTGCATGAACCAAAAATGGTATCACTGCCACATCTGATGCTATTGATGGTGTCAAGCTGAGGTAGTGACGGTTGAGACAGCTTGGAACTATCTCACCAACAGCCATTACGCTAGGACGAGCTCACGCCATCCAACATTACCCTCGAGTCCTGGTACTCCAACACCATGAAGATCGGGTATTCGACGTTCGACATGAAGGATCTGACGCAAGGTATCCATTCGCAACTGCCGGCTAGATTCGCAATCGGACCTATAGTAGAACCGAGCGTCTGGTAGGGCACCCGGTGGTGTTATACTCTGCAGCTGCACCATCGCAAGAATGACAACATCTGCTTTGCCAAGCTTGCACCTATGGATCGATTTCAAGGGAGCCTTAACCATCGAACAAGACCAAAAGCTCACTCAGGTGGCAACAAATCCACTACACCAAGATCACCACCACCACAGCAGCAGCAGCAGCAGCACAACAACAACAATAACAGACGGCAGCATGGTTGCGTTCTGTCCTGCTATGGTTTGAGCGTCGTTGTCTCGGCGACAACGAGTGAGTTATCAAAGCTGGTTCTCCATCACGGCTATGTACTGACGATGAGATAGCACCTCCCGCCTCCACGCTGACCGTCGTGTCCCCTCTACCCCTCTAAGCGCCGACAAAGTCTCAAGCTTCTGCACTCGTCTTCAATGCTTCGAGTCCATCAACTGACGACAAGATAGCGACGACTCCCGCTCCTCTTCCGGCCATACCGGTGCCGATCGCAGGCGAAAAGTCGTCTGGCCCTAATCCGGTGGCGCCTAGCAAGCCACGCCCACGCGACTTCTAGCTAGATGAGCAGCAGCAACAGCAGCAGCAACAGGCTTCTGGCTGGCGAGCGACGCTTACGACGACGACGACGACGAAGAGCGTTCGTTCAGCAGCATAGCCAAATCAAACGGCATGCACAAGCCTCTTATCCGGCTCACTTCAAAAGAGATATTGCACCTAGCCACCGTCTGAGCCATATTTCGTTGCTGCTGTCAATGCAGGCCTTCACATGTCGGTACTCCTGGCGGATGTCCTTGGCCTGCTGTTCCATCATCCCCTCGTGACTCTGAAGAGTATTGGTGAGACGCTCGAGTCTCGACAGTCTCGGCAGTATCGACGCTGTCTTGCTCAAGGTCGCGTCAGCACGATTGCAGTCGGCCCGAAGTCCAGCACCGATCGTGTCGGGTTGTGCCTTGGCCTGACTGAGGAGCGGGATAAACAGGTGGTGCTGCGAGGTACGATTTGAGCGAGGTGGGACGACAGAAGCTCACATGGCGTCTATAAGCCTGGCTGAACGGTTCATTCTTTCAGCTCTCGCGCGGACGAGAGACCACGAACGAGTAAGTGCAAGACTCACCACAGAAGAGATGGACAAGACACTTCAGCGAATGTTCGACGCTGGGAGTTACTGACCAGCATGCCAATGAAGTAAATGCGATCCGGCCCAAGTAAAACCGAGGTAGCAGCCAACAGCGTCAGCCAGCTGGGGTATGAAAGTTCAGCACGGTGTTTCAAGCTTGCTGGACGGCGTCGTCATCATAAAGGCCTGCTGGCGACGATGAGGATTCCGCCAGGTCGACGGGGCTATGGACCGTCTACTGGCTGCCCAAGATGGTTCGAGGCTCTCTCCTGGGCGTCCACCTCGCCGTCCAGCCGTCGCTAAGCTGTATCGTCTGCACGGATAGCAGCGACAAGATTTACCACACGGAGATCGCGCCAGAAAGCAACAATCCCGTTTCCAGAAGCAGCTGGCAAGCATTTATCTCCGTATGGCCACGCATCCAGAGTTCAACGTAAGCTTGAAGCTTGTTGTGGGGACGACAAGCACCCACATCTTACAGAAAGGGCATACATCGAGGCTGTTGACAGCTTTACTCCAGCGTACAGTACCCTCGCTACTACCACAACCTTCCTCGCCCCAATTTGGCATGTGTACTTCAGACTGTAGTTCGAGCCGAACTTTGGAATGTCGTAGCGTTGATCGCGGATTGAAGTCTGGGCCGTATGGAGGTGGTGGGCAGTTAAGGTGTTATTGAATCCGGAGCGGCGAGCCATGGTACTGGATGTGGTGTGGATCACAGCCAATCGTCTCATGTAGATGGCGCTGGGTCAAAGTCTGCCTGTGGCACATGGTCATCTCGAATTTTAAGCGACAACCCTGAAGACGCTATAAAACACTCTTCGCTCCAGCAGGATATCCACGACAGCAGCGCTACCTCTGATGTGAGTCCTCAAGAGGAGACTCCTCACCACACCCACCTCCTTTCAGACGAGTGAGATGAACGCCTACGACTCGACGGCTAGAGCGAGCGGGATCATCTAGTGCGTCTAGCCATGAAGGCCTCTGATACCGTCATCCGGACTTGCAAAGCTAGACGGACTGGCACCAACACGAGGAGATAAGCGGAGTCCTTGTAGATGGTGTAGCCAGCATCTGGGCTTTGTCTCTTGGGGATCCAGAGGACTGTGTGCTATTTGCTACTGTTTGCTTCCATCCCGTCGACTCATCCAGAATCAAACCAGTCCACTCGTTTACTAGGTGGGGGCTGGTACCCAACACAGGGGTGCAGAATGATCAGGAATAAGTGCGAAGTACAAAAACATTACAGCATCATCTCTGTAGGAACCAAAAGTGGATGAGGCCGGACTTGAACCAGCACCACCGCCGAGTAGCACTATGGCTTGTTATCGAGCCTGTATCATCTTCAGGCAGCGCGCAGGACGGACCAGTCGCCTGGGCGGTATCTCACCATTGGACCACTCACCCGAAACACAAATCTGCTGCACTTCGTTCATATTAAGATGAGCTGAGAGCCGTGAATGAGCCGGAGGGCATAGGGAGGGTGTGCAGAGTTGAAGTCTACCCGATTACTCCTCGAGTAAGGCCTGGGAACGAGCAAAAAGTAGATGAGAGCGGAATCGAACCACTATCTCCGTCAAAGCAGTGGCGCTTCGGCCAGGGGGCGCTTCGGCCCTGTCGCTCTTCGGCGCAAGCTAAGACGATGTCTTACCATTGAGACCACTCACCCAGGTATTTTGATTGATGATTCCTTTTTCCCATCTGTTGTTTATGAATAAGGTGATGGTCGACCGCGGATCAGCCGTAGAGGTGAACTGGTGTTCCGTACCTGGAAGGTGTGCAAAGTGAAGCCGGCTCTGCCACACCACAGAGCTCCTGAATTCAGCAAAAGGAATGTGGAAGAGACCGGACTCGAACCAGTATCACTACGCCCCCGGGACTTTACCACCTGCATCCACACGGTTGAGACTTTGCCGCTACGTGGGACACCAGAACGAGTATCTTAACCATTGAGACCACTCCACCAAGTGTCTTGCTTGGAGGCTCAAAGCTTCAACTTTTACCTAAGTCCGCTCAAAAGAACAGCGGTGATTCAACCGACCTAGTTGATACACTTTGATGTGGGAGCTCGAAGTCGAGTCGAGGTTGATCCTGCCACACCACGATAGAAGATCCACGAAGCAAAAATGGATGAGAGCGGACTTGAACCACCATCACAGCCAATGAATATGGGATGTATCTTACCATTTGGACCACTCATCCCAAAGCACTTCGTCGTAGCGTGTGTCCATATAACACCACTGGAGCAGCCGTCGATGAGCCGGATGACTGCGTTGTGAGTCAGACTTGTGAATGTTTCCGGAAGTATGTCGTCCACAAGAGCTCGTAGGAGCGAGCTCGTCACCATATCAGATGAGCTCTACGAGAAGCAAAAGTGGATGAGACCGGACTTGAACCAGTATCACAGATGCGAAAGTAAGACAGCTGTATCTTACCGTTTGGACCACTCATCCCAATGGCCGTTCGAATAGAACGTAATGACAAAGAGCCCTCGACCCTGCCATAGAAAATCCGGATGAGTCACTTCGCAATGCCGCCGAAGACTTTCTCGGAGTGGCCAGAAGCTTCCCCTAGCATTAGATGTGATGTGAGCGTGGGGAGACTGCCACCATCTGCTCGACGTTGTGTTGGAGCGTCAAGCGTGGAGGACGTGCTTTAGCGTCTTCGTCTCTCGAGAATGGCCCCTCGCGGGTGGCCCAGCGTCGGTTTGGATCTCTCTAGCTCGAGCCAGATCGTGTAGGTGTGGCGACAGTCAAGGAGGGTGTCCGCCTGGGGATCCATCATCAAGGACGAGCCTCGCACACAGCCCTGCAAGGTCGATAGCGGACCTGTCGCCCACCCGCAAAGATTCTGAAGAATCCAGCTATTAATGAAAAGCTGGGCGTTCAGTCTCCCATACCCCAGACAACCACCTCTCCATCCCCACCAGCACTCGCCCAAGTCTTCCTCGTCTGATTCCACGCCACAGCAGAAACAACATCCTTCTTCCCACCCTTCCCACCCCCCTCACCACCCTCCTTCTTATGCCAAAGCTTATGCGTCACCTTCCCACTCAACACATCCCACACAAACACCCTGCCATCCTCACTCCCACTGATCGCCACCCCATCCACCATCCCCAACGTCGATCTAACCCTGAACTCCTCGTTCCTAAATCCCTCCCCTTGGAGAGTCTGCAAACATCTCCCACTCCCTACATCCATCAACCTAACCTTCGAGTCCAGCGTACTAACCAAATACCCATCCCCAACCTTCGTCGGCGTCACACTAGTCACACTCGCCCCCAGCACATCAACCTCCACCTCACCAGCCCTCAAATCATAACACCGAACCCTCCCATCCACGCTCCCTGCCCAGATTCTCCCGCCCTCAACAGCCACACAACTCACCGAGTCCTTCGCCTCATTCATAACCATAATCGGTCTATCAGAACGGGACTTAGTATCCCAGACCCTGACCGTGCCGTCAAAACTCCCAGACACAACAACACTATCCGCCTCCCCACCAAAGCTCACCGCATTGACCCTTCCAGCATGACCGGTGAACCTGCGTAAAGTCTGCGCAGTGGGGACATCCCAGACGAACACAACTTTATCGCCGCCTACGGAAGCGAAACGAGCGTTATCTTGACTTACGGCTAGGTCCAGGACTTCGTAGCCATGAGCCGAGTAGGTCTGGATGAGTTTGGAGTTCGCTGGGTTGAAGAGCCGGATGGAGCGATCCTGGGAGCCGGTGAGGAGATACTGGCCTGATCCTGCTGAGAAGGCTAGAGCGTGCACAGGGCCGTTGTGAGCTGTTAAGCGAGCGATGGGTGTGATTGGGAATGATGCAGTGGAGCGGGACATTGTCATGTGTTCACATGTTCGAGTTGATGTTCGAAGTTGGAAGGTGTGGGGTGGCGAATATGAAAAGTCAAAGCACAGACATATGGCAGAGTGAAAGTAGGATGTAATTACAGCTTGCTTTTCGCTACATCTCAACTCGCTAAGTGCACCCATTATCGTACTCCGGTACGGCAAGACGCTTAGCAGTTCGCCAGCACGCACGCTCCCACATAGTAAAACCCGGCAAAGTCAAGATGGTATCTCTACGCACGCCCCATGCCTCTCCACGCATATCAACTTCACTCTCAACGCCTGCCTGTCCTCGTCATGCTTCCCTGCATGCTCTCGACCTCCGTCTCCAATGTCTTGATGGCCGCATGACTACCCTCCAGATCCTTGTTCAATCGATCTCTCTCCGAAATCAGCTTCTGCTCCCACTGCCTGAACCGTTGCTCCTCCACCTTAACCTGCTCCGTGAATCGCTTCCGCAGCGCCTCCTCCTCCTCTTTGAACTTGGGGTTGTCCAATTTCCTCGGCCTTGCCTCGCCAAACTTCCTCGTCTCCATCTGCTGCGCGCGATAGGCTTCGTAGTGATTCTCCTCGGTCGTATGGATGAGGTCGAGCATGTGTGTCCGGATGAGAATTGCACGGAGTTTCTTGAAGTCGCAGTGCTCCTCATTTTCCACTTCCGCAACACCCCAGGCGTATTGACGACCTTTGACAGTGCGGCCATCTGGTGTGGAGACGTCACGCTCGGAGCCGATGACGGAGAAGGGCATGGCGGCGATGAGGCTGCGGGCGTGCTGGAGGCCGGCTTCGTCGTCTTCCTCGAGGGGTGGGGTGTAGATTTTGATGCCTTGGGCTTCGATGACGGCGCGGATCTGGCAAATTATGTTAGCTGATGCGCGCGGTGTAGCAAGGAGAGCATAAACATACGCGATGCTTGAACCGAACCAAGTCATGCGGCGAAAGCGTGTCTGCCTTGGCAATGACCGGAATCAAGTTGACGCGCGAAGACAGCCTCTTCATGACCTCGATATCCAGCGGCTTCAGCGTGTGTCCAGTTGGGCGAATGAAGTACAAGCAAGCATGTACACGCAAATCAATCTTGTCCTGCCTCTTCGGCTGCTGCTCCTGCAGCATATAGCTCTCATGCTGATCATCCAAAAACTCAATGATCGGCTGCCACGAGTCGCGGTTGTTGACGTAGTCGCCGAAACCAGGCGTGTCGATGACAGTTAAGCGGACCTTGAAGAACTTCTCCTCGAGCTCAGCTTTCGTAATCTCAATCTCGACGGTCTTGTCGACTTGCTTGGCGTGTCGGCGGCGGTGGTCGGCGTAGTTCTTGATGGTGGTGGAGAAGAGGGTGTTCACGAAGGTCGTCTTGCCGAGCCCGGACTCGCCTGCGACCATGAGGGTGAAGGCTGCGCCGCGTTTCGCTACGATCTTGTGGCGCTGATTGGGGAGCTGCACATCATCAGCGCTGCTTCGATATGCTGGACCTGGCAAACATACGTTGGCAATGCCAATGGGTGACAAGGAATCTGCCATGGCTGCTTCGACCGCTTCTTGTGTCTGCTGCGAAGGCTCGCTATGCTCCTGCGCGTCCACGAAACCGCCTGGAATCTGCTCGAGACCGTTTGGCTCACCAGCGCCTGTTGTGCTGCTTGTGTTAGCCATTGTTCCTTCGTGCTCTTGCTCGTTTGAATTGGACGAGCCCGTGTGTGGTGCCATTTCGAAGTGCGCGTTGGTCGGGCGGAAGTGAAGATTGCGTACCGAATGTTTCAGAGCGTGTAGGACACGTGCGACGTTGGCGGAAGCTGTCGTGGTGGTGCAGGGGCGGTAGCAATGGTGTTGCTTGTGGAAGGAAAGCTGGAGTGGTTCTCCTTTCCCTGGTGTTTCAAACAAGCTTAGCTTGCCGGCGCGGCTCGTGCTTGGGCCCCTGCAACGCTAGAAACCTGGGGTGCAGAGCCGTCTCATCGACTTTCTTCCGACGACAACAAAGATTGTGCCGACACCGAAAAGCTCGTACGGCAGTGAGAGGACATCCCGTCGTCCCTTGTATCGCCTACCATTCGAATGCCGGCTAGCAACACTATTTGGCATTAAGTACCTTGCGACAAAATAGGTGATGTAGCTTAAAAGGTCAAAATATATAGGGACGCCTCTTATTGGCTACATCAGCAGCAATAAATTGCTTGCGTTGATCATCCTCCTCACTATCTTGCCAGGCTATTGTCCTCCTTCAAACCGCATCTCTAATCTGTTACACAGTTTCAAGAGTAACACTTCCTAATGACAGAAGCTGTGCGGTGGCGAGCGGTAGCCTCACGCGACTCCAACTACGACGGCATCTTCGTCTACTGCGTCAAGACCACGAGAATATACTGCCGACCAGTATGCAAGGCGAGGCTGGCACGACGATCGAACGTCGAATTTCGCGATACAGCAGAGGACGCAGAGTCGGACGGATATCGAGCTTGCAAGAGATGCCAGCCTCAGTCTCACTGTTTGTCCCAGCCAGAGGCGGAGAAGATCAGACGAATCTGCATAGTGCTCGATGACCTCTCACCTGACGCTCCGCTCCCAGGATTGAAGACGATGGCTGAAACGGTCGGGTTATCGATGTATCATTTCCACCGGCAGTTCAAAAAAATTACGGGTACGACGCCACGAGAATATGCTCTGGCAGCACGAATCGTGGGCAGCAGCAGTACCGCAACGCCATCGCCGGCAGCGCCCGAAATGACACTGAATCAGGACGAAAATGACTCGCAAGGATCTCCTACTTGGGCGTATACCAACACGCTATCCTGCAAGTATACTGTCGTTACTACAACGCATGGCTTTCTCTTGATAGTATTCTGCCAACAACAACTCTGCAAGCTTGAGCTATGTGCGGACCAGGCCGAAGTCGAGGATTCTTTGGAGCGAGCGTTCCCATCAACGACGTACTCTCACGATTGCATAGACCTGGAAGACGATGGATATGCTACCCTGTACCGCCAGCATATCAACGATGTTGTAGGAGCGTTGGAGAGACCGAGCGGTAAAATGCTCGAGATTGCTTTCTCAGTGACTTCTTGAGATACATGTTTGCGGCGATGCTACTGAATACCTTCGCTACACAACTAAACGTCTCCACTGGCATAAGTCTCGACGACTTAATGGCGTGCATCATGGAGTCGACAGCAATCGATAGAAAGAAAGTGGTAGCCATCTATACCAATGCCTCTTTGCCCTCTTCCAAGGGCAACAACCGCACCCTGGACTCGAGATGATCTTGCCTACACGCAAAAGTCACTCCACACCCGCATCTTCTCGATCAGCATACCTTTCACCGTGAACAACACCCCTTCCTCCGCCAGTAACGCCAGCTTCTTCTCGCAGTTGATGCCACTAGGAGCCTTCTGCCACTCACCCTTGAAGCCTCCTACATACTGCGAACTTCGTCAACTTCGCATCACAGAGTCCGGCAGGAGGTACTTACGCCATCAGCACTGATCACTCGATGACAAGGCACGTCCGGCGCAAACGGATTTCTCCTGAGCGCACCACCAACTGCGCGAGGACTCGAGTCCAGTGCTTTTGACAATGCGGCGTAAGTGCTCACTTTGCCTTTCGGGATT